CGTAAACGAAATTTAAAATGAAAACTAAAGTCAAATTGAAAACCAAAGTTAAATCGAAAATTGAAAAAAAAAAATGAAGTGAAATTCAAAATAAAATTTAAAACGGAAATAAAATTTTAAAAAAAATACAAAAATAAAGCCTAATTATTGAAATCAATGTGGTGAGTCACCTCGGTTGCCGTACCGTTGGCCTCAGTACCTTGAATAAATAAATATAATATGTATAACAACATATTATTTGAAAATGTACCGGAGAAACATGTATGCTTTATGTGCATTTTCTTCAGTGATTATATCAAAATAGTCAGACATTCAGCATCAGCGGCTGCTCTAAACTCTTGGATATATAGTCCGGGAGTGGCACGCCAACTCTTTTTTCTTCTGCAATGGACCGAAGATCTTCTTCACTCACTGCGTAACCCATGTCGGTTCCTCCTGCGGAAAAATTATAAAATATTCAACATCTTGAACAATATGGCGTTGACTGCAATTTTGTATCAGTACTTTCGATAAAAAGTGGCATGGAATGTGTTTATTCATTGGTACTAATAAAAAAACGCATGTACCATGCAACTGTGTGTATTATTACGGAATTAGTCATTTTGAGTACATAAACCTCCGACATATTATTTACATGTTTTCACTAAAATACCACTAAAAGTACGCGCATAGTAGTGGCAAGGATTGAATCGAAGATTGATACACGCTTTCCAAAAAGTAAATTTAATATCAATAATTTCTCATTAAAAAAGATTGGTTATAGTTCACCAAGGAATAGATTTTCACTATTCATCCTATTAAATACTATTAGAGAATCTTGTAATTTTATGCGTATGTATATGAGGTTATTACGAGGATATCTCAAAGTATGCACAAAGACAGTACAGCTAGAGTATCGCGCGGAAGTCGATGCACGGCGTACTGTCTGAGTATCTTTTCCTTCCAAAGAGACATCATCCGAATGCCCATCCAAAATGTTCAGAACACAATCAGCGAACTTTTTTGTGTAGAGTCCGATCAAACCCTGGTGGCATCATGTTTGTTTTTATTACTAGAGGACGCTTACGCGCGTAATCATTCCATATTTGGAATTCGCATTTCGCTATATGGTGAGTGGATGAAAATACCTCGTAAAATACCACAAAATTACGGCACGCTGTAACTTATGGCGTTACAGTGACAGATGTATAATAATAGCATATATAATTATATACAATGAAGAAGGCGTTGCAATTATTTATTTTTAATTTTTAAAGAAAGATGATTGGTAATAGAAGGCAACCTTTCAACACAATTATTCAGTTTTGTTTCAGATTTTGAAATGTAGAAAAATGATTCGCTACAAGTAGTCGCGATTCATACTGTATTGTGTAAATATGAAGTTTATAAAGTTTAACAAAGAATATGTCACTTGCTTACCACACAATTCAGGAAATTTGTACAAATCCTCTGGAACGCCATTTGGTCTCAATTGTCCTTTATGTTTTCGTATTCTGTGTGAATTCCATTCGTCTGCAAAGGACTCAAGTTCTTTTTCTAACAGTGGCATATAAATATACTTCAAACAATCTCTGTAAAAAAAACGATAATAAGACACATTCATGTGAAAAGTTGATATGACCGAAACGTGTAACCCTTCGTATTTTTATAATATAATTTTGTCTGTGATTCATAAATTTCAAATTGTTTCATAGTGCATTCTGGCATAACATACCTGTCAAGCAAGCAACTGCTGTCATATTGTTGTTTGGTTTTTAGCATCTGAAAATTACGAAGGCATATTCTACTGTCTGTTAAATTGTCAGTGGATATATA